AATTAGGCTGCTTCATTAGAAACTTCCTAAAATTCTCACCCTAGAGGACTACTCTCCTGGGTGGTTACAGCAGTTTTAATCAGCCAGGATTAGTTTCCCCAGAATTAACCCTAATGCATACTGGTTTCACTTGATTTTTTAGTGAATGATTATTGAGTGCCTGCTGTACACTGAGCATAATGGCAAAGACCTTGACTGTTTTGCTTTGCTGTCTGTTGCTTGCTATGCCAGTTCATGTGGGGTCATATATATCATGGTAAGAATGAGGGATTTTATTCTAAATTCCATTTAAATGTTATAACCTGGCCTAGGTTTAAAAAAAAAAAAAAAAAAAAAAAAACCTCACTCTGGCTGCTTTGTAGATCATGAACTGTAGATAATTAAGTGTGGAAGTCAGGAGTCCTTTTAAGAGGGGACTGGAGATAACAGTAGCCCAGGTAAGAGATTGCAGTGGCTTGGATTAGTGGAGTAGAGAGAAAGGGAGAGTTTGCGATATTCAGGAGGTAGAACTGATAGGGCTTGAACAGGAGGTTGAGACTTATAAGTGAGAAAGAGATGCTGGTAACCTAGACTACGTCTGAGTTGTTAAGATGATAATAGGGGAGATGGAGGAAAAGTGGTACATTCAAGATATATTTTGGAGAGCAAATCAGCGGTACTTGCTAATGGAGTGGCTATGGGGTATATAATAATGAAAGAAAAGATCAAGAATGACTGCTAAGTTTGAGACTTTAGTAATTTAGTAGATAGTAATACTCTTTCTTGATAAAATAATATAGAATGATGGGTAGAGCGAGGGAAGCAGGACAGACTTGAAGTAAATCAAGATTTTCACTTTGGGCATATTAACTTTCAGAGAAGGGAAATAGAATCTGGAACTAAGGAGAGGAACTGGAATATATCTGTATGGCAGTCATCAACACAAAGGTGGTATTTAAATCCCAGGAAATTTCTGAGATTACTTAGAGAGTTGAGAGCAAGCAAAAAAAAGAATCTGAATCCCCCTAAATTTAGAGGTCAGATAGAAGAGCCATCAAAGATGATGTTGACAGTACAGCCGTAAGGTAAGAAGAAAACAGGAGAATGTGCTTATGGAAACCAAGAGAGCAAAGTATTTCTTGGCGTTAGTAGTCAAATATATTGAATGCTGCTGAGAATTTGAGTAAGATGACAAATTTTTTTTTTTTTTAAAGAATCTTTGGTTTGATAATATGAAGCTGTTGATGAATTTGACAAGAGGAGTGTCAGTGGAATAGAAGGTATATTACAGTAGACTGAAGAGTTAATGAGAGGTGAGGAAGGGGTCACTTCTCAATGTCCACATTCTCTTAGGTGATCTGGTAAGCTCTTCCAGAGACTTCTTAGCACTCATCCCAAAGTCTGGGGTGGTATGTTTTATTCCCCACATCTGTGGAAAAAACACAACACTTTTAAAAAGAAAATATCCTTTCTTTGAAGCTGTATATATAATTTTAAGATCAAAAGGATCTTTAAAACAAAGCTAGTAAGGAAACTGAGGCTATTTTACTCAGCTGCTTTGTAACCTTAATAGATACTTAACCTCTGTCTGCCTCAGTTTCCTCCTCCCAAAACTGAGGATAATAATAGTACCTACATTATACTGTTGCTCTAAACATTAAATAAGATAATGTATGTAAAGATCTTTGCCAGGTGCTTGACACATAGTAAGTACTCAATAAATGTTAGCTTTTTTTTTTTTTTTTTTCCACTATGTGGGCCTCTCACTGTTGTGGCCTCTCCCGTTGCGGAGCACAGGCTCTGGACACGCAGACTCAGCGGCCATGGCTCACGGGCCCAGCCTCTCCGCGGCATGTGGGATCTTCCCGGACCAGGGCACGAACCCACGTCCCCTGCATTGGCAGGCGGACTGTCAGCCACTGCGCCACCAGGGAAGCCCAAATGTTAGCTTTTTGTATTGTGATGATACTGAAATAATGGCGATACCTTGAGGTAAATTACATAATACACAGTAACAGCAGGTTACAGAGCAAGATATTTAATGTTGCCTATGGTTCACTGAATTTCAGTGTTATATTTGTTTTTATCTATGGTTTATTAGTTGCATTTTTCCTAGTTTAAAATGTTGTTATTGCTGTTTCTGATTATTTTGTTTATTCCAAAATCCTTAGACCGAATAATCTATTTTAGGAGAGGTTTTGTCAGGCATTTGAAATGTAGCATTTCTATGCTTATTGCCCTAATTCTAGTATTTTTGGTCAGGCCATATTAATTCTTTTTTGACGTATCAGGGTAAAGGCTATAGACAAAGTGTACATATTCTAAGATTTATTCTATTAGGCATTTTTGTCATAAACAAAGTTAATCACAAAAGTTGTAAACACAATATTTTTTAAAATATTCTATGTAGTTTCTAGTTGTAAACAGAATATGTTCCACAGTGACACAGACCAGTATTGTCTTAGTCCCAAGGAAAGTAGAGACGGGTTCCTACAGTTTCCTAGTAATATTGTCTTTATGGCCCAAATCTAAGTTAAGAACTGTCTTTGTAGTGTATTTTTATAAAAGTCACTATTGTAAATTCACTATTTGTAAAGTCACTATACGCTAGAGTCATGCATATCCAAAATTTACAAATCACCTATAGTCAATGCCGAAACTAATACAGTGTATACAGATGTTAGTACCTCTTTTTTTTTTAATAAATTTATTTATTTTATTTACTTATTTTTGGCTGCATTCGGTCTTTGTTGCAGCGCGCGGACTTTCTCTAGTTATGGCAAGCAGGGGCTACTCTTCATTGTGTTGCACATGATTCTTATAGCAGTGGCTTTTCTTGTTGAAGAGCATGGGCTCAAAGTGCGCAAGTTGCAGTAGTTGTGGCATGCGGGCTCAGTAGTTGTGGCTTGTGGGCTCTAGAGCACAGGCTCTGTAGTTGTGGTGCACAGGCTTAGTTGCTCTGCGGCATGTGGCATCTTCCTGGACCAGGGATCGAACCCATGTCCCCTGCACTGGCAGGCAGATTCTTAACAACTGAGCCACCAGGGAAATCCCAGTATATCTATCTTATATGAGAGTTATATGAGAGACAATATTTTATTAGTCCAAATTAAAGGTAAATCTAATTTTCATTTGTCATCTGTAGAATTAAATCTTTTACTTTAAAAGAAAGATACAGATCATAAAAATAGGAATAATAAAACCCTTGATCACACAGCTATTCAGAAAATACAGTGTACATCTTTATTATGACCTAAGAACATTTTACTTCTATATTAATTTGGTTACAATTTGTCACAGAAGTAAAACTCCTCTTGCTTCTCTCGTAGGGGTTGTAGCTCAAGCAAGATCTGTCCTCGCCTGGCACAGTCGATATAAGTTCTGCCCAACCTGCGGAAGTGCAACTAAAATTGAAGAAGGTGGCTATAAAAGAGTATGCTTAAAAGAAGACTGTCCTAGCCTCCGTGGTGTTCACAATACATCATACCCAAGAGTTGGTAAGCCTTTTCTTTTACAGTGAAACCTCAACCATCTGGAAATCTTAGGGAATAAGGCATTCTGGAAAGACAAGATTTTGAGTTGCTGAGGGGCTTACCTTTTTATTGAAAGCATGTTTAATTTAACTATTAAGACTATAATTATTAAAGTATTACATACTTTGATGACTTTTACTACCCTTCTTAACCCTGGGTTAATCAGCATGAATTTGATGTGTTGAGATACATGATTTCAAAGTACCTGCTTGTGGCATCACCAAAGCAGTAGAGCCTGGAGCTAGCTTCTCATTACTGCTGGTGTCTGCCTGTACTTTCTCTCCTCCTAATTGGTGCTTTGAGTTGGCTGTGGAATTAGAAATCTGATAACCCAGCCCTTTAAAGTTGTGTGAAAAAAGGATAGACTCAGCAACACCTGAGGAGGTCTCCTGGGAGTAAAGTGCATGGCTTAGTGACATATGAGTTTGCTGCTTAGGAGCCTTTTACATTTGATTACTGGTTCTCAGTTGTGATCTAGTGAGGCGAATTTACTGAATTAGTGACTTCTGGAGAGGTGAACTATTATTTAAAGTAATTTTTTTAATGGATTAAACTCAATCATAGAGCCACATTATCTTTTAAAAACATTTTGTTAAGGACTGAGATGGAAGGAATAGGAAAATTCACTACATTTGCTATGGTAAAATTTCATTTTTCTCCATGCCATGTATTACCTACTCAAACTTCTTTCTAATTAAAAAATAAAAATAAGCCTAGCATACCATATATACACAATGAATGTTGCTATTAAGATGAGAAAGAAGACAAAAATGATCTTTCTTTAGCTTACTGACAATATTCTATGCAGTTTTCCTGAAATACTCTGTCTCCTGGCAGAAAGAAACAGTCTCTTGTAACTAGACAAAAGTCTTGTTCTTACAGGAGATACATGTTTTTATTATCCTACTAGACAGTGACTTTACACAATGAGTCTAAATTATTTTTTCCTGTCATTCATACATCTGATTTTTTTTTTTTTAAAAAAACAGATCCAGTAGTAATCATGCAAGTTATTCATCCAGATGGGACCAAATGTCTTTTAGGCAGGCAGAAAAGATTTCCTCCAGGCATGTTTACCTGCCTTGCTGGATTTATTGAACCTGGTAAGCCTTTTCTTAATAATTTTTATAGTAATTTTCATTTAACTTATAATTTCTAAATAAAAAGTTTGGACAGCATTTGAGAAATAATCTCTGATAAATTATCATGTTATAAAACTGGGATATTTTAAAATATTTTCTGTGTATTTTAGATGATATAATTTTTATTTTTACCAGTGGAATAGTTTTGTGTTTTAAAAATTCATTATTTGCTCTTTCATATATCTTTCATATATTGCCCTTACCCTAGGTATCTGCATGATTTACACCTCACTTGTTCTGTACTAGGCTCAATTGTCACCGTTTCAGAGAGGCCTTCCCTGATAGCCCTAAATACATTTAGCCCTATACCCTGCATTTACAGTCCCTGTCTTCCAGTCTGATTTTTCCCTA